AATTCCACCTGGGCAAGTATTCCACCTGATGTGGATAAATATATGTTAGTGATGGGTAGCTCAAGTAGGTACTTGGGAACTTGTGGTTCTCCTAATGAAGCTGTAGCTTAACTTCAATCATTTCATATCTCAGGCCGCTATAATTCTTTTTTTAGTCTCTGGATCCCCAGATAACTTAATCCAACCTTTTAAAGAATAACCTCCAAAAAATTTCTCTAGTCTTAATGACTTAAGCAGCAGAATGGGGTCTGTATGATGGTTCATTGATGGTTGGATGATTTTGCAGACAGAATGAGTAGACACTGAGTACTTTGGGATAATATTCTATGTATGTAATTTAAACTTTCATCTCCCTGTTTAATCATTTTCCCAGTCATTTAAAAACCAGAGAAACATTTTGGTTCTTCTGAGTGTGAGAAGGTAATCAGGTATGAAGTTTTAAGGCAGGGATGGGATCTGACTGGTGTAACTACCAGTTCGGTGATTTTTGTTTTTTGAGAACGCCGAAAACTGGAAGAGCAGTTCCCCAGCACACATGTGTGTTCCCCAGCTGACTTTTCAGTTTCCAGCGCGCACATGCGTGCCAGCCACCTGATCTTCCAGTTTCTGGCTGGTATGCCCAGAGAGATGCTCTTTGTGCTACTTCTGGCATGCGTGCCATAGGTTTGCCATCACAGAAATAGGGCAAAACTCACTTAATAACAGAAATTTTGGGCTTAGTTGTGGTCGTAAATCAAGGATTAGCTGTATGCCTTCCCAGCTGACCACCTTAACATTTAAGACAGTCTATAAATCCTATATTTACAAGGGAAAGATATTCCAGCCTCTCCTATTTGGGGGTCAGAAAATTTAAATCCAAGGCAGCAATTGCTGGGTTGAGGAAAGAGGAAAATATGAATCTTAGAGTCTCAGATTAAAGTTTGGAATTTTGGGGGGAAAGGGGTATGCAGGAAAATTAAAGCAAAGAAAAGGAGCTTGAAGTACTATTACTGGAAGAATAGGCAACAGATATAGGAAAGAATTTGTATGTTTCCCTCTCTGCATTATAGCTATTATTGCTCAATTACAAGCTCAATATAATTTTGAGCATTTCAAGGTTTAAAATGTAATTCAGATTGTATATGAGGAAATTTCTTTTTATAATCTTCTGATATCTGGAACAATAATTTTGAAAATCTGCTCCAATCTCTTTGCAATGATTTAAAAAAAATTGACATGGGGAACATCATCTTATGGTCTACCTGGAGCACTATATTTTCTATTTAATTCCCTTTTAAAGTTGCCTTGTCTTCATGGTTTGAAGAGATTTGTCTTTACCCTTTTCAACAGGGAATGTTGGCATTTTATCATCTCAAGTACAAAAGAGGTGATAGTTTATCTTTTCATTTTTTTAAAAAAGTATTGTGCATCTGTAGCAAGATCTGTCAATTCTCCAACATCTGTGCATGTGCACGATTCCCCCATTGCGCACCATGTGTCTCTGCATCTGCACACGCAATTCCCCTGCTGTGCACCAAGCATCTGCGCATGCATGCACGATGCCCATGTGCCATGCATCTCTGCGCATGCATGTATGATCACCCCCGCGCGCCATCCATCTGTGCATGCGTGTGCAATTCCTCCATGTGCTGTGCATCTCTGTGCATGCGTGCATGTCTCCTGTGCACTCCCGCCCCCACCGCACATGTGCGCCAGATACCTGACAATCACTGTCGGGAGACGGCGGCGCATGTGCATGCGCTGTGTGGCTCTTCCGGGAGACCTCTCATGTGCCAGGGGAAATGGCTCTGCATGCGTGGCATAGGTTCGCCATCACGGCTCTAGACTATCACTGAAATTAATTTGTAAGTGATCCAAGAGAAAAAGTGGGCTTGTGGATAGTTATATTAACAATTATTGTGCATTACATTTGCCCATCATTTGGAAGTAAATCCAATAAGTTCAATAGAATGTACTCCACAAAAACTTTACACTTTACAGAATATATAAATATAATAGTTATTATTTCATTTAAACAGGATACAAACATCCCGAAGAGCAATCTAACTAGATAACCTGATTCAGATTAAACCTTCTCCTATTTATATAGAGACAAATATACTTAAAGCCAGCTATAACTGTAGAATTGCAGCGGACTAAATACAAATTAAAATATTTTTAGGTTAGATCTGGTGAGATTTAAATGGCCTGGCACATTTGTTTTTAACTGTAAATAAATAAACCACAATTGGTTTTTACATCATAATATGTCAAACAATTTTGTACTGGCTTCTTTCTAGTTGCAATTCAAGATGTTGGTACTCACCTTTAAAGTTCTAAATGCCCAGAATTAGGTCACTTGTGGGTCTTTTCTCTAAGGATATCTGCCTATTCCACCACATTAAATAGCACTGCCCTAGATCTCTTCCCTTAAATGTTGTCTTCTAGTGAGACCTTGGAGCAGTGCCTTCTTCATCTATCCTTTGGAATAGCTCTTCATCTGATATTCACAGGGTCTGTACCAGAGGTGGGATCTGACAGGGTTAACTACCGGTTCAGGGATTTATGAGGTTTGATGATTTATGATGTGCTTCCCTGCACGTGCCTGTAAATCATCATCAGCCTGCTGCCTGGACAACTGACCAGTGCTGAGTGCAGAGAAGCAGCGTTTGAAACAGCACTTTTTTCCTGGTTTTCAACTGCAGCTGTGCCTCGCACAGCAGCTGAGCTTGAAAAAGCAGGAAATAAAGGTCAGGTAAGAGCCCGGGCAGGTGGGTGGGCCAAAACATCAGAAGACATAGAACCGGTTCTATGTCTGCTGCTCTTCAGAGCTACCGGTTCTACAGAGCCGGACAGAACTGGTAGAATCCCACCCCTGGTTGGTACCCTTTTAGATTTCTGAAAAGTGTTGAAGAACTAGCTCTTCCACCAAACATTAGACCAGGATGAGGATAAGCCAATATTTTTCGAACAGATGGATGTTATGGTGCTATGGTGGGAAGCATGTTTCTGGTACAGGTGATATAGTTATTGCTAATCTTTTGTGGGTTACCTAGGATGATTGCATATAAGGCAGTCATATACAGTTTTAAATAAATATTTTAAAGCCCCAATTATACACTGTATCATAAAGCATCTGGCTTGGTGACTTTGGGTCAGTCACCTTCAGCAAAGTCCAGCTCACAGATTGTTGTGGAGAAAAATGGAGGCAAGGGATTAGGTATGTTTGATGCCTTGAAATGACCAAAATATATTTTAATAAGCATGATAAAAATATAATAGCAATATGTCTAGTAACTCTATTATTGTCATGCAAATATTATTGGATGAGATTTTTCTTCCTTCAACACATGTCAAATGATGGTATTAATAAGGCTATTTTTTGGAAGGGAGAGGGGAAAGTGCTGCTGTTCTGTGGTAAGGGGGAAAGCAGATATTTTTGCTAGGAGGGAAGAAACATAATTTCTTCTCAGCCCATTTTTAAATCAGTTATTTGATGTGCATTTTTTTCAATAGCACAGGGCAAATGACTGATATTAGTTAATCTGATTCTATGTCATTAACTCATCTTTCTATCTCATGGGATGGAAAACAGCTAGCAGTAGAACAAAAGTAATGCAGGAAAGTGTGGTTAAACTAGACCTTCACCTTCTGTCCTAATGAATCGCAGACTTTTTGCTGTCCATACAATTTGTAGTGTATGCAGCATATTTACCATTTATGAATTCATAGTGCTTAAAGTTTGCCTTTATTCTTCTACAGCAGGGATGTCAAACTGGAGGCCCGCAGGCTGGATACCTCATGTGGAGGCCATGCCCACCCCAGTTCCACAAATGGGAAAATGTCAAGAAACATCAAATGACAGCAACATGGCACGACGAAATTGACACCTGTATTCTACAAGTAAATAACTAACATTTGAAAACAATAGGATTTACCACTGTAAGAATGAATCAGTGATTAAAGCACCACAATAATGTACTACCATTATTTCATTTTTAACAGTTTTCTTGTGATCAGAAGGAACAAGATGGGGACAGATCATCCTGAAGTAATCTATGCAGTCACTAACAATTAGCACAAATTTGATGGCACATAATCAGGTGACTGGGATCTAGTAATAACCCATTGTGTAAACCCAACTAGAAAGATAGCATCTTTTATAAATCAGTTGGATTCAATGGAAGCAAAAGAAAAAAAAATTGTATTTCATGCTCAGATTGTTATATAGATTGGCTTAGCTTAACACAAACTCATGCTTCATCTCAAGGTGTGGCTTGAATATGACCAAGTGTCTTATTCAACAAATCATGGTTCAGTGTTGACTAGGTTGATGGCTTCTAAAATAATTGTTGTTAAATGAATCATTGCAGCTGATAAATTAGTAATACGGTTATTAAGTGAATCTGGCTTCCCCATTGACTTTGTCATAAAGTTGCAAAAGGTGATCACATGATCTTGGAACATAGCAATTGTCATAAATATGAACCAGTTTCCAAGCACCTGAATTTTGATCATAACTTTGAAAAACAGTCAAAGGTCATAACATTGAAAAACATTTTTCAGTGCTGTTGTAACTTTAAATGATCACTAAGTGAACTGTTGTAAATAGAGGACTACCTGCACTCTTTTTTTTCATTATCCCTAATCCAAGTTCTCTGATCCATAAATCCTAGTCTCCCTTCTCATCTCTCTTAATAAAATAAGCTCTATTCAAAACTCTTTCTTACAACCCCTCTTTTCTGCCCTTGGCTTTCCATCCTCTCTTTATTTCCTGCTTCTCTCAAGCTTTATTTATTTATTTTCTTCAATAAACACCCCTCTGGAAGCTTCTCAGTTCTTCCCCCTCGGCATTTATCCTCCTACCGATTCAACCCACCTCCTTTTTCTCTTCCTTTCTCCTGCCCTCAGGATACCTTCATTCACCTGCTCCCCGCGAAGAAAATTTGGCCGGCTGCCTTTTAAAAGCGTCACCCTCCAGGCGGCTAATTTTCTCTCGCCTCTCCCTCCGCGAGTCATACCTACGATCCCCGTAGGAGCCAGGTTTTTCCTCTCCTCCCTATTAAGTGTATTTTGGCCAGGCTCATTTCCACGGTTGAAAGGTGTTTTAAAACCATCACCCTCGCAGCCGCTAAGGATGCGCCGGGACTCGCTAGGTCCGTTGGAACGAGGGAAGCTCGAGAGCTTGCTGCCCTCCTCAGAGAGCGCGCGAGGGAGGGACGCCGCCATACGCCTCCAGGACTGGGAGGCCGGCCGGCCGGTTTGGCTTCGCGTCCCCGCCCCCTTCACGCTCTCTCTCTCTCTCTCTCTCTCTCTCTCTCCGGCCTCGCGGCTCCTCAGTCTCGGGGTTCTCCTTCCAGGGAGCTCATCCTCGTCTCCTCCCCCTCCTTCGCAGCGGAAGTGACCTCCGCGTCGCCCGCCTGCTCTGCCAGCAGTGTTGGGCGGCAGCCGCGGGAGACGGCGACAAGGTCGACGGCGCTGCTTGGTTCGTTCGCTCGCTCTGTTGCTTCGTCACCAGGAGCCGCTGTGTGACAGACGCTCGAGGCAGTCGGATTCGGTAGCCGGGGCTAGCCAACAGCCGGGCCGATCCGACGGGCGACGCAAAGAAGCCGCAGCAAGCCGAGTCTTCGGGGCGGCGGGAGACAGGCGGTTATCCAACGGGACAGGAAGGAGGCGGCCATGGCTGAGGCCGGCGTTGGTGCCGAGCCGCCGCCTTCCTTACCGCCACCACTACCGCCTCCAGCCGTACAGAAGGAACTGGTGTACAATAAGCTGCTACCCTACGGCGACAAGCTAGAAGCCGAGGCCAGCTACCTCCTTTCCCAGATCAAACTGAACCTCAGCCGCGCTGTTCAGCTTCAGGAGCTCTGGCCCGGCGGCCTCTTCTGGACGAGAAAGCTTTCCACGTGAGCTTGGCTGGAGATGGTGGGGTGGAACCTGGGCTCCAAATTTGGGTACAGAAAGACGGGTGATCATAGAAGGGGAAACCGTTCCCTTCTCTTTTGATTCGGAGTATGGTATTGTCTCGATTCCTTCTTTTACTAAGCATCGGGACCAATACTCGGATCAACTCCCCAAAGATCACCCTGGCTAGAAGCCCATCTTATAACCCTCCAACCAGTACTTCCTACACCTCTGAGTGTGGATGTTTGCATCAAACCAGCATCTTCCCCCCACCCCCTTAGAAGATCTTCCATTCACAATGAACAAAAGAGAAGGGGAAACAGGAATTTAGGACCTGTCCATTAAATAATTAATACTCTCTTAAAAGTAATAAACTAACAAAAGGTCATGAGCATGGTTTCTTGAGAACGGTTTGAATTTTTATTGAACTAGGTTTTGTATTTAAGACTAAGTATCTGAAGGTACTCCTTATTTTGGTAGGCATGAGCATTTGCTCCTAGAAAATTTTGGTAGGCATGAGCATGAGTAAATGCTCATGTCTACCAGAATAAGGGGTGCTTTTTATATATGTGTGTGTGTGTCTGTCTGTCTGTCTGTCTGTCTGTCTGTCTCTATCTATCTATCTATCTATCTATCTATAGGGAGGGAGAGAGAGATATATTGATTGTATGGATGTCTTCATTACCGCTGTTAAATAAGAGAATAGTGAAGATTGATCTTGTACATCTGGAAAGACTACAACTGAACCATTCCACCTTTGTCAATGTTTCCCAGATCTATTAAAATTTTTAAATTGCTTTCTCCTGGAGAGCTTGAGATGGTTTATTTTTTAAAAAAATAAGTACTTATAATCCATTCTATAAATAAAAGTTTAGTTCACAGACATCTTGGGAGATTTTAGTTAAATACTTACAAAAGCAGCTGATCTGAGCAAATGAAAAGCGTGAGTGGTCATGGCTGGAAACAGTAACTCTGTTAAAGATGTCTAGAAGGATGCTTGATCTTCTCTTTCTAGAAGCTCTATTTAGCTTTTGGTTCCCACTGAAAATTTATAACTTAAATAGAGTCTGCCTCATTTTGATTATAAAGCTTTATTTCCTTAAACTGAACAAAAAATGTAATTTGTTTTACATTTGTCACCTAGGGCAATGGGCAGTATTTTTTTAATTAGAACAAAATTGTATGACATTGATATTATCGAGTTTGTATTAAGGATTACATTGTGCTAATGTCTTTTAGTAGTGAGCTTACTTCCACGCTTCACGTACTCCAGCATCTTCAGAGCTTTGGTGGAATTTATGTAAGTGACATGATCAACCAGGGGAGAGGTTATAAGTAGTTGTAAGGTTGCAACTTAGCTTTGAAGTGACCTAAATTGCCATCACCTCAGCATGTGCAACTATTGGTACTTGGGTGGGCTAATGTTAAGTCATCTTTCAATGTTGGTAAACCTCATTTGGACTTTAGAAGAAAAAGTTTGTTAACTTACAGTATTAAGTAAATTAATTGTTTATTGCATTTTCTAGTACACAGTTCTTCAAATTAAAAACTTAATTATCTTTTGGAGAATGATAAAATGACTGACTATTATGCATCCTTCCAATTGACAGTAGAAGAGGTGACTTAGAGTAGTTGCTACTTATGAAGAAAATTAACATTATTCCATTATTTATTATTCCATGGGCTGTATACACTCCAGCCAAGACTGGCTTATTTTGAAGTTATGGCCACTGTAGCACCTTCATTTTTATTTGCCCTTATAACCGACCACTGGGAAGTTGTAGCATCCCCCACCTATCTCCCACCACCACCATCCTATCCTGCTGGGTCCCTGCAGTTCCTGGTCTTGTTTTCACCCAATCCCCCATTGGGTCCCTGCAGGCTTTGGTCCTCCTCCCCTTCCCATTACCTACCTTTTGAAGATCTCCTGAGCTCTGGACCCCATGTTGGGTAAGGAAGGAAGGCCATTCCATTCCTGGGCTACAGAAAAAGCCTTAGTACTGCACAGACTAAGTTAAGAAATCAGAGCAGATTGCTCCATCCCTGGACTGTCCATCCCTGGCCCAATCATGGAAGTGGCTGCCACTTGAGTGCCTTTTTCATGACATGGCCACATGGCCCAAGAACACTGAGGGATGGAGTGGTGTGATCTCATTCCCTAATGTGAGCTCTGGAGGTCTTCAAAAGGTAAACGGGTGATGGGTGACAGGTGTGTCCCAAGTCGTGTGGTGAGCTGCTGGGATGCAAAAGAGGACTTGGTATTGGGGTTGGGAAGCAGGCCCAAGGGCTTTGGGAACCCCAAGGAAATGGAGTACAGGATAGCTCAATGGGAAAGACCTTGAGAGGCTTAGTTCTTAATGGCCACATCACCAGGTGTGGGGGTTTAAAGTGAGGAAATCTCACTTAACAACCGTCACAACATGCAATCTTAATGGGCAGGCTCATTACGGTCATAGGTCATAGGACTATCTGTATATTTTGTACAGATCAAATAATGGTTTTAAAGCAAATTATACCATGCTGTCATAATAACCAAGATGTGGGGGGGATTTCTTTGTTGCCTTGGTTAGTTTCTAGTCCACTGTTCTCTTAGTAATGGTAAAAAAATGGTTAGGGTATGCTGGAGAAGTTAATATTTTGTATCAATCTTGGACTTGTCATTGTAAGTGACTTTGTTTACAAGAAAGATTCTTAGAGCTACATTGATAAGTATAAATTACTCACATGGTTGCCTTACAAAGATGTTTTGAACTTGAGTAGATGTAGCATGACGTTACTTCTCCAGTAGCCATGGGTTCTCCCTTACTCTGTTTATACAGAATGTGTTTTCATTCTAATATGAGTTATGGACTAATGCTGTCACAACGTGTTGAAACAGTGCCCAAATATTTGGTTTGGCTTCTGAAATGTCCTGTGACTGTAGAAGATAACAATATTAACACATCCTAGTATGTTGTAATTATATTTTAGTTGTCATTATGTTTATTAAATTTTTATTTCTTAGATGAAGTAATGGAACTATTGAATTTTCTGTGTTTTAAAAATAATTTACTGTATTAGATTTATTCATATATCAGTTTCAATTTCCAATGTCAGTTTGTGATCAAATATTTAAAATCTGAAGCATAATACTTTATGTTGTGCTGATAAAAGTCTTGATTGGTACACAGGCAGTAGATAACAGTTTGCGGTCAGTTAAGAAGATGAAGCACTTGTTACAGCTAGTTGGGCAAAGTGAAGTCATGATGCATTGTAAGGAATTGTCAATAAAATGGCTTGGTCTGGATATTTGAATGTCAGGGCCTTGGCATATAGGAGCAGATTCATGAGAGCTTATACAAAATCAGCTTGAATCTAGAGCAAGTGCATTTCTTAAAACTGAGTTACAGGACATACAACTTTTACTTCACATGCTGGTTGCACTGAGAGTGGGAATGATAAATATAGTCTTATTTTCTGCTTCTGTGTAGCATTTGACGCTATACAGTACAGATCTCCCATATAGCTTTCCTGACCTGAAGTGTTTTTAATTTTAATATTGTACTAAAGCATTAGAATCAAGATTGATTAAACTCTTTTATAGTTCTTTAACATCCAAAATGATTTGTACTTGTCTTTCTTTTTTCAGTTCAGATACCATAAATATTGAAGCTTTTAAGGTTATTTATTGAACTTAATTTTATACAGTATTTTATAATATGAGATAAATGATCGATTTCTGTGTCCCTTATGATAAAAATAGTAAGTCCTCTTTAATAGTAATGTGTGTAGCAAATTACCAATTTAGCATCAAATAGTTATCATATTTTGTTCTTTATCTTCTTTGTAATAGCAATAGTACTTAAACTTTTATACCGTTTTGCAGTGTTTTACAGTCCTCTCTAAGCAGTTTAAAGAGTCAGCATACTGCCCCCAACAATTTGGGTCCTCATTAGGTAGTCAGTAGATGGTTTCACAGCTGGTTTATCCATCAAGAGCAGGACTGGATTCTTGTAGGGTTCAGACAATGTTGCATTAAGTTTTGGGGTGCTCCATCTCCAAGATACAGAACCAAACCTGCACTGCCTGGCTGAAAAGAATGTGTTTAGTGAGGAAACTTGGCAGAGTTTGAAGAAAAAATGACTGGAAGATGGAATCTAGTGGAATGTAGTTTGGATTCCCAGGAAGGAGGGGCTACATTCCAGGGGGCCAAGAGGCTGAGGTGTTTAGATAGTTTGGTTGGGAGAAAGAGGGGTAAGACAACTTCTATGTAGCAATTGTCAAAGTATATCTTGAATACAAGTAGCTGCTTTAATTTGGCAAGATATCTGTCCATAAGTGAGGGACAATAAAGAAAACTGCTCAGAAATAATTCTTATGTGCCTTTCTTGGTTCTTGGGGCTGCAAGAATCTCAGTTCTGGGCAGGCTATAAGTAAATTGAAAAAATTGATGTATAAGCACCTGACCCCCTCCTCATTCCTCCCACTCCAGAAAAATATTCTGACTCTCCCTGACCAAAGTTAGATCATTATCAGAACTCAATCCCACTTTGCCTGGTCAAGCCTTCTATGAGATCCCCTGTACTGCATACTATTACAGCAGCAAGACTTTGGATTGGGGTTAAAGGTTATTTAACCCCCATCTGAAGCCTTGCTGCTGTAATAGTATGTGGAATGATCTTGAGGGAGGAAGGGAGGTTCAGAATATTTACTTCTTTGCAAACTTACTGACAATAATGTTGACTTACAAAAATGTCCTTCAAAATGAATTCACATATTTAGGATTAGCTATCAGCTATTGTTTTAAAGCATCTTTTGAAGTATTTCATAGTTTTTATGTTGATTTCCAGTAAAAATCATAGTTCAGCTTATTTTTTTAGACAAAAATATTCAAGTGTATAATAAGTACTTCATTACTGTTGTCATCCAATTTTTTTATAGCCTTAGATAAGTGACTGGGGAAAAAACCTCACCTTCTTTGTGGTAGCACACTCATTTGGTATGGCATGTTTCTGTCACTTAA